TTTACTAGCTTAACTGTGTGCTGTTAGTTGTTCTTTGCGGCTTGGACAGATGCCCTCAGACTTGGAAGTAAGCTTCCAATTAGTCGACTCTTACAACATGCTTATTGGAGTGGCAGTGGATCCGAATTTCTATTAGCTGGATGCTTCAAGGTGACCAAAGATGGGTTTTTTTAAGCAGTCATGTGGAACAAGGTCACATCATCATCACGTACTGAAACTTTTGTTTTGTTTGAAAACAAGCACAACAGCAAATAGTAACAAGTTCGTTATACAATTTAAATGATGCTAAGTGCTTTTTCAAACAGCCAGGACCTTCTAGAAACGTATTTTATATTAGCAACAACAACAAAATTATTAAATAGTTGATAATTAAGTGTAAAATAACAATTAAGTGGGGCATGTTATTTGGTAGATGTTTATTTCAAGTCAACATAACCTTTCCTAAACGTATTACAACAAAATCAGCTATTTTAAAGTATCACTAGTGAACCTTTTGTCGCTGTTCTTGATTTATTTCTATACTTTTCCTGTAAATCTATCATTGCTATCAACCCAGCACTGCTTGGGCATCTGTGCTTTGATCCAATATCATTTAGCAATGCATGTAAGTTTTTATCACCTGTTGCTTTGTAAAACTATAACCACGTGTAATACAGAACCTATTGTAAAATAAACTTGCTAATTCCACACAAATTTTTAACTTTGAAAAAATCCTGCAAAATAGAAACAACCTTATCTTTCAAGAATGATTTTATTATCTTCAAAAGAGGATTTAGCAAAACACTCAACTAGCCACAGCCGAAAAAAATGAGGTAAAAAACATTTCGGTAAATTCTATTTACTCATTCACAGGGAGCCACGATAATTCACAGGTCTCAAGCTGCACCAAGATAAATCAGCTCCAAACAAAACTGACCTTGGCTCCCAGGTAGTAAAAGGACCCCTTTTCACGCCTTAAGGAGTATTAGGCATATAGGGCTGGACCAATAGGCCCCTGGTGGGTGATGTGGTCAGCATCATGCCTGCCGCTGTTACTTCTCCGGACTTTTACCTGGTACTCATTTAAGGTTAGGTCAATCTAGGAGTTAAGGTCATTTCTGAAAGGGGGTGGGGGGATTCCAGCACTGTCCTGATCTGAACCCAAAGCCTTTGGACCTGCAGGCGAGCATCTAGCTGCTACATGTGGCAGTTCCCAGTTAGACCCAGTGTAAACTGGGTACAAGGTCAAGGCCACTATAAACCAGTGGTTCTCAACCATTGGGTCCCGACCCTTTTTTGGGTTGAACGACCCTTTCACAGGGGTCACCAAAGACCATCGCAAAACACATATTCATTGAAGTGATGATGTAGGGACTAAAATAACTAAGGTTGGGGGCCACTACAACATGAGGAACTGTATTAAAGGTTACGGCATTAGGAAGGTTGAGAACCACTGCCGTAAACAAAGATTGGCCATATCACACACCAAGTGTAGTTTGTTCTATGTCTATACAGTGTCTAGCATGGGATGCCTGACGCACCACTGGCAACACAATGTGCAACTAACTGGCTTTTACTCCTCAATATTATCCGCCTGAATTATGTTCTCTAAATGACCCCATCTGATCAGATTATCTGAAATAAATATGGCTTTTCCCCGCATGGGTTCGGGGTTCCACTGTGAGGAAAACAAAAATAGACCCACTGTCTCCCCAGCTAGCATGTCACAAGCTGGGGAGCTTCCTTCAAAGTTGGAGTGCATCTGCGTGAGAGGCAAGGAACCAACAGTCTGCACAAAAATATGCAAGGTCTGTAAAACGGATGCACATGCAAAACCTAAGTCCTGTAATTAAGTCAAAGTCTAATGGTGGATGAAAAACCAGGTCTTTCCACCGGTGAATGCCAACAACAAATCTGGATTTTATCATGGCCACCTCCATTGAAAAAGCAACTGCCAGAAAGAGATGTTTAAGTACATTAAAAGTACCGTACTTATGATTTCTTTTTAACTGGTTGTTCCCCTCCCTTGGATATCTGCAACAATACCTTCTGGGACAGATGTAATAGCTGATTCATAATGCAAAAACAAGACACTCCACAATTTACAGCAAATAACGATGGATGATGTGGCCAGATCATATCACCATCTTATTTTCCAGGTCATTTTCTGGTAACCATTTAAGACTGGGTCACACACTGAGAGCAAGGTAAATGTGTGTGTGTTCCTAGGGGGTCGGTCCTAGGGCTCAAGAGTGGGTCGACCTGGGAGCCAAGGTCATTTGTTTTAAAAGCTTGGCATTGCCAAGACCTGAACCCTCGATCTTCTTATCTGCAGGCAAGTGTCTAACCAGTATTCCTGTGGCTACAGTAAAATCAGCATGTTGACATTTAGATCGGTGTTGTACAGCACAAGTGCAGTCTGCTGTCAAATTGCCTGCAGTTGGAAACAAACTGGCTACCAAGGAATCACGAAGCACTTATTTACAACAACAGGGTGTTGAATGGTTTGTCATCTGGTGAGGGTGCATGCCACCAAGCCTGATTTTCCAGCATGAATGGATAATCTAACCAGGAGCAGACTCCTTAAACAAGTACTTTTATATAGTTGTATCACTGTCTGAGTTGTATGCTGATAAAGGCTTTCATCTGCAATGTTTATTTTGTCACACATAACTTTATTATCTAGCAAGGGGGCTAGTTGTACATCTTGTTTATGTAGATACACTAAAGTTGGGGTTTATACTGAGGGGAGGATCTGAGCACCTATGGACATGTCCGGAGTGCAATGAGGATAACCCAACTAACTAACTAACTAACACTAAAGTGTATTATGTTCCTAACAGCAAAATTAGTCTGGGCTCTTTCCTGAAAAACATTATGGATATGCATTCTTTTTGGGTCACACTTTTTAAGGCCCCCTATGTACATAGCAAGGGAATGTTTGCTTTCATACTGGGTGTGTTTAAGTGTTCCAAGAACATACAAATCAAGTAGCTGTACTTATTTAAGGCACTGCAGCAAAATAAAAAAACAAACTTTATACAGAAATATGCCTTAAATTTGTTGTCTTCTCTCGCTCACTTAAAATAGATTATCTATATCTGCAATGTTAAGTTTGGCTTGCACCGATGTTTCTCTTGGTCAAAAGTTTTGTGAGTAAGTGAAGGAGCCCTTTCACTTATGTGTTCTGGGCTAATGATGATAGTCTAACATTTTCAGACATTTAAACCCTAGATATGTGATGTCAATGTTTACGCTTGCCTTTTCTACTTCCCATGAAATGCCCAATTTAGATTCTTAATCTTTCAAATTCACTGGTTGCAAACTCCAGCAATAAGTCCAGGTTATTCATCTACTTCTAAAGGTTGTTCTTGTTCAAGAACTTCAGTGTTGCATGCACACATTTTACAGATCTGGCTTAACTGTGTGCAGACAGATGATTCCTTGTCGCTCAGGCGGATGCATTCCAACTTAGAAGAAATGCTGAATCCTATTTGTGTTGGCCAGGCTCGTAAATGAGAACCTGTTTCAAGGATGACCAAGAGAGATAAGCCTTGGTCCTAATTCACCATCACATGTGGTTTTAAAGGAGATTCAAACATGGTTGCTGGTGCAGCAGACAGGTGCACTGTCATGGCTTCTATAAATATGTGCACAGAAATTGTATTCAACTTTGGGGGCACATGAACAATGTAGAAAAGCAGACAGATAACAAGGGTCTAGAAAGAATGATGTCTACCGGAATGACAAGAAGATATGTTAGACACTCAATGCTCATCAAAGTTAGGTCAAGATGAACATATAATAATCAGACTATGACTGGAACTTTACAATGGCTTTACAATTCTGGAATGGATCATTTAGAGTATGTCTCAAATGCTGTTTCTCAACTCCAAATACATTAGAGTCCCCAGTACAAATAAGATTACTATACAGTCAGTGAGCTTTGTAATAAACCAGTGATTCCAAAATCCGGGGAGTCGCAACCTCTTTACAGGGGTGCTGCAAAATATTCAAAGATACACGATTTTTTTTTTTTTTATGTATCCGGTAATCTTAGTTTCAGCTTCATTGCAAACGGGTCACCCCATAGTTTTTCCACTCCTGTGCTAACGAAAAACACACAGAATGTTTATCACAGTCCCTTGTGGAAAGATTGACATACCGCTGTCTCAGCATATGCACTAGCATACACACGCATTAAAAGCATACGGTAGCCATCCAAAGTGTTAACACAAACAGTCCAACATTCATTAGAAATTTAGTTCATCATGGATGGTAGCAGAAGTCACCAACAGATCAGTAGTTGCACATGCCATCAATTTTAATCATTTAACGGCAATACCAATATTGTGACAACAGGCATTGCACCATTTTCTGAATCTACACAATTCACACCACCACATTGGTCAGTCAAAAAACATTCCAAATTAAATCCGCAGCTCAGTGTCACACCATGCACTCAACTCAGAAGCTGGGCAACAAAACTATATCCTTTCAGTCTAAAAATGAAGCAAAAATGCAACGGCCACCGTCTGGCAGAAGCAAAAAAATTTGTTGCGGCTCAAAACAGTGGCCGTGCCTAGTGTCCATTTTGACCGGAACTCCTTTTTGTTTTTTATCTCTTACATATGAATAGTCATACTTTTACTTAGGCTAGAGCGCTGCGGACAAATGTTTCATTGAAAAAACGCGCCACGACTAAGACAAGTTTGGGAAACACTGCAATAAAATACAAAGTTCTGTTATGAAAACAGTAAAGTCAAGTTCCTTAGTGATTTCACACTAGCCATATTTCAATGAAGACTTTAAATTATCACTAAAATAGCATAAGCATAATAACACTGATGTGCACAAACATACTTTTCTAGTTTTAGAAATGTAACATACCTGCACAAGATAAATATTTATCTGCTGCCATCAGTAAACAACAAACCTTGGTACACACTTGAAAGGCCTGGCTCATACATTCATGAATAAACTTACATATTCACACCATAAAGATTTCAATGATGCCCCCTTTAAGTAGCATTCTCACTTTGTATTGCTACCCCAAGCCTACTGACTGCTTTAGGTGCTGAGGTGGTTTCTGCAACATGACTTATTTCATTACTTTCAGACTCCTCCTCTTCTTCCTCATCATCACTATCATCATCCTCTGAGTCTGTATTGTCTGGTACAGCCACCCGGTTCAAGTTGATAACAAGATCAGCAAGGTCTTCATCACTGTCCTCACTCTCACTTGGTGGCAGCAGATCTGAAGATATCATACTTTCATCTTGTTGAGCTGGCTTGTCTAAGAATGCCTCAGGCCTGAAACAAAAACACTAATATTTTTCATTCAAGATACCGGTGTACTATCAAACTATATAATAAATTAGCAATTAATTATTTGGGTTATTATTATATCCACAGGTGCTCAGATCCTCCCCTGAGTATGAACCCCAGCGTCTGGCAGCAAATAGTACGAGTTCTATGTTCATTACCAAGTCCTCTGATGTGCCTCTCACTTTCTGCTAGGCCGCTCTTAACTCCCAAGTTTATCATTCTGGCAAGTGATGTAGATTCACAGACCCCAAAGTCCTCCACCCTTCCCATTTCTCGAAGTGCATGAGCAATGTCGTCAGAATAACAAGCTGCATATTTCAGATTTCATCCACATGTAATAATAAGATATGGTGGCTTGTCAGATAAAAAATCAAAAACAGAGCAGGAAAGGTCAAAAACATCTTACAGGGACTAGTCCTTTCTCCCGTCGAATACGCTTTAGTCATACCCATCGTCAGCAATAGACTGAAAGACTGAGTATTGGTGCAAAATGAAGCCATGCGCATTATTCTGAGGTGCGCAAGCAATATCTTTATGACTTTCTGACAATGCACCACAGGATGAAGATCTGAAGGACTCATGCATACCTGAAGATAAGCTGGGATGTGAAGCACTCTCTGCATAATGGTCTCTTTAGGAAATGGACAACAGGCTAAAGAGGGGCAAATCCTGGCTCAGTGGGGCAGAAGATGATATCATACAGGTCTGCAGTCTTACAGACATCAACCTCAGTGAAGAATAGATACCTGTGTCCCACGTGCTCAACTGCACCATTTCCTATGTTGTCACGCTTGATAGGATCTGTCAGGAGCAGAATCCAGTTGCTGTCAATGCAGAGGTCTACACGCTTATAAGTGAAAATTCAGATGAGGCGGATGTACTGATCTACACAGATGCATCCGTTGTAAGAGGACAAAAAAAGTGCATGGGAATTTACTGCATGCTCTGCAGGCAGAACAGCGTGGGAGGCCAGTGATGTCTTCTGTATGACTAATAGGAGTATGACAATGGAGGTGATGGCGGTAATACGAGCTTTCATGTGGCTAGCATCGCGGGGCTGTTCTCATGTGCGTGTGCTGAGTGATTACATGAGCATGATCGGCGGGTCGGGACAGGTTTTGTACGCAGACACTGTGTCTGGAGTTTCCTTCATTTTTGTTCCAGGCCATATGGGTGTTGTTGGCAATAAAAGAGTCGACAGATTAGCCGGCTCTGCCTTAGTTACAGATAGCCGGCCCATGGATCCTGCATTGTTAATGCCATTAGAGAGAAGACAATCGGAGGATTCTGGGAGCTGCATATCCACATCTTTGCTAAAAGTACAAGAATTGGGAGTAAAGGTCAGCACAGCCAGGCACGAGAAGCACACCGGACGCACGAAGGGTCTTGTCAACGAACATATGAACTGGGACTATTAACTGCAGGACGTTAATGTATATGTTGAAGCGGGAATCTGAATACCTATGGACAAGTCCAGAGTGCCGTGAAGATAACCCAAATCAAAACTCACATCTGCTTACATATTCAGAAGTTAATCTCGATATATTTATTGAAAGCAGTAGTCAATTTGAACCTGTCGACATATTTTAAGAATTTCTATTAAAATGAAGTGAGTCAGTTTTCTACAAGTAGTATGCTCTTTAAACATGTTTAGCCAACATTCTATCAATTCCAGTTACCTTTATGAGTATTTTCTAGCTTTAGCTTTTTTGAACAATTTTATTTCAGTCTGTTATGTCATTGCTAATTGTTTAATTCAGGTGAAATCTTTAATTCATTGGATGTGTTAGAAAATATAATAATCATAATAAATCTTTTTAACAGTCACACAGAACTGTTACTGTTTTATTCTCCATCAGTCAGTGGTTATCTATAACACCTAACCTATCGCATTTCTGACAGCCATGATAACTTATGTAGCAAAGTACAAACATGTCGGCGTTTGTGGCTTGGGCGCTGAAAATGCACTTCATAATGAAGGGGTGCCGGGTTCTATCCCAGTTACAAGCGATTTGGCAGCAGACCGTCTTGCATTAGCTTCGGCAGTGGTACTGAGAGCTGACTAAAGCAATGGCAAACTCATCATCATCATCAGGTGCCTTGCCGACTGGTGTGGGCGATCATGCCTCTCCATAATCTGCGATCTCCTGCAGCATGTATCAGTTTGGGTGCCGACACACCTCCATGCCATGCAACAAGACTGTCAAGCATCTTCTCTCGTTGTCTTCCTCTATCCCTTTTTCCACAGATCTTTCCAGTGGTCACAACATGTTCTATTTTCCCTCTTCTCATAACATGGCCGAAAAATGATGACTGTCTCCTTCTGATGTCTGTGATAAGTTTTCTTTGGGCTCCCACCTCTTTCAAAACCTCTTGGTTGCTCTTTTTGGCTGTCCAAGGTATTCTAAGCATTCTTCTGTAAAACCACATCTCTGAGGCCTCTAAAAATTGTTTGGCCTGCCGACCGATTGTCCAGGATTCACATCCATATGTTAAAACTGGATGTATGTAGCAAGCAAGAATTATTTTTCTAACTCTCAATGACAAGGATATATTGCACAAGATGTTTTTCATTTTATAAAATACAGTTTTTGCCTGTCCAATTCTGTTTCTTATTTCAGTTATGCATCTTCCATCTGATGTTATCCATGTGCCCAGATACTTAAATTTCTGTACTTGTCCTAAAATAACACCACTGACTTTTATTACACATTTAGGAATAATTTGTTTCTTTGATACCACCATTACTTCCGTCTTCCCTTTATTCAAACTGAGGCCCATTCTTCCACTTTCTAACACCACAATATCTATCATTTCTTGTAATTCTTTTTGACTTGTTGCTATCAAGACTGTGTCATGAGAATAAAGTAAATTGTTTATATTGTGCCCACCAACCACAATTCCGGACATATCAATTAAAGATCTCAAACTCAAAGATCTCAAAGATGGCAAACTACTGAATGTAAAATTTGCTTAGAAATACCACAACAGCCAAAAAATGCTGGTGTTGGTTCTGCAACGTCCTGTAAAGGATACGCAACTAGCTTTTCTTTTTAAGTACAAACACAGTATATGGTAAGGAATTCTTCTAAAGAATACCTTCTGAATGTGAGTAAAATGTATCTGGTGAATGTATAAAAATGTATCATATATTATAACAGTGAAGCTCTAAGTTTACCACCAGTGGAAAATGGCAGCAATACTGATAGAAATTGCTCGAGAAGAATCAGTTCATATTTCTTCGCATCTTTTTATCAAAACTTTTTTCTAGGTTCTTTCATTCTTGACCACTTTCCCTTAGGACAGACAAGATAACAGCACTGGTATCTCTCCAATAAATAAGTCAATCTGAATGTCAACCTCAAGCAGTCTGTGGCAGTTGGAGCTGCTGAGGGTTATGGTTGAGAAATAATAAAAAGGTACAGAACCCTCTTCCATGGCCTATAATTTACTGACATCACAGTCAAGAAAATGGCTGTGAATAAAGAAATAAGTCTTGTATGTGGCGAATCCTTAGGCAGAGAATTAAAAAGAGGAGCAAAACATAAATGAACAATTTAAACAGCTGGACAACAAATAATATATAAGCAAAACCAACTTCAAAACAATTCTGAATCACAAACTGACTGAGCAGTTCTGATAATCAATGTCAATTGGCACTTGAAACAATGCTGAAAATGTCCATCTGACATTTCTGACCGAGCTTATTCAAGCTGTTCAAACTAAAATTAATAAGAGATTAGGCTTTATTTACATAACAAGGGTCTACTAATAAGACAGTGGGAACAAGATTCAAGGACACCCTGGAAATGAAAATCTATAAAGTGAGAAAGTAGATAATGAATCAAGTGGTTATCCAGTATGCTGTTATCAGAGCAATGTTCAGTAAATAATATGCTACATGACACTTTTGTTTTAATGATTCAGTAGCCAGCCACTAGCTGCAATGTTGGTTCTTTTCTTAAAACTTGTCTTGCTTGTATAGGAATTTATGCTATATAGTCTGGGTTTTGAAAATGTCATTTCAACCCCTCTCAGCTGTTGCGAGAAGCTGGATAAAATAAACATGTAACCACTGAAACAATGACAAGACAAGCAAGACGAACCTACATACCACAAGCCTTTGTCCTTGATGTGTTTAATCTGCTCTCTGAATAGAATGTGTGAGATCTCAGCCTTCACCTTGCCTCCTTCTTCAATAGGTTCAACTAAAATGTAGTCACCTGTCCCACAGATATTGTTTATAGTGAGGATTACATTCAAATTTTTAGTGACTCTTCACTTGATGGAAACATTACAAATGATTTGTATAACAGTTTACTCAAACTAATGGCCCAAAGCAAAGTTATATTTATATATTTTTATCTGGTCTATTGTGTCCTCAATCTACATGTGAACCAGTAAGTCAGTGCCTCTCTGTCTAATCCTTATGCTTCAACCTGTCAGTAGGTAGCTATTACCAGCACAATTTTCATGTAATCATGACCACAAACAATTCTCAAAAAAACTGCCAATTACTGCCTTTATATACCACTTCTGTTGTGTAGGCAGAGGGTCTTTTGAGCCTGAGTATTTAAGGCCACATGGCTAGTGTTGTCACCACTATTGTGAAGCTGAGGATTTTATTTTGCCCCCACAGCCTTACCGAGGATTCAAACCTGGGTCTTCCGCATGAAAGCCTAGCGCTCTAACCATCCGGCCAGCCATTCCTCAAAAAATTCTCCAATAGGACAGAGTGGGGATAAAGAGGCTGTACTGATATGAATGATTCCAGAAAAATGTTTAAATCTAAGTTCAGTTCAAATTTCAGCATAGGAAAAATGAAACTCTATGCTTCTGAACACGAACAGAAGTGAGGATTCTAGAAAGTCAATGTGAGGCCAGGCAGAAATGGGAATACAAAATAATATGTTGTGTTTAATTGAAATAGACAATTTCTGTGTGTGGATTCCAGGGGGAACCGTTTTAGCTAATAAAAGATAAAGCAAGTTCAATATATTGCCCACGTTCAAAGATATTTTTATTTATAATGGATGGGAAAGTAGATCACCTGAAAATTGGAAGATACACAAAAAGTTGACTAAATAACAGTCTGTATAATCAGAACAAAAGATAAGAATGCTAGAAATGTAATGCAGTCAACATTCACTTTGCAGACACAAAGGAAAGACAAGGTAGACATAATCAAACTGGTATTGCTATCCTGGATATTGGAACTCTGCGCTGGCGGCTGTAAGTGGGGAAAACAGTGCTTATGAGAATGTACACAGTGCTGTGATATCAGTTCTAAACACAGCACCTAATTCACTAAACTGTAGTCTGGTGCTGACCAATGTGAACAGGTGTAGATATTACTAGCATTCATATTTGACAGATCAAAGATGACCGAAAAAAATGTCTTCTTCACATTAACTGTTATGCAGTATTACCAACCTGTGGTTGGTTTTACTGCATAATTTCATGATTAGTAGTTTGTCGTTGCTTTCTGAACAATATTACACTCCTGTCATTGTCAAAATCTTTACAAAGCCATCTGTTACCAAACAGACTGCAGTTGACTATGAACTCTAGTGCTGGGATTGAGACACTGTATTCACAACCCCTAAGCCACAGACAATGTGAATAAAACTGGTCAAAATACCACCAATTTGGTATACCTAACAAGGAAAGTGCATATACAAAGAACAAAAGAACCCCAACAAACCTCTCTTTATCCACACGTGTTTCCTGAATTTGGTCGGCATGCTCACCAGAAAGGTTTCCTTGTTTGCAGTCTCCACTTCATGTAAATTATTTCCCCTGGCTGCGGTAACCTGAGAAGAAAACAGAACACCATTACATGACAAACATGACGTGTCATAACCCGACAGGTAAACAGAAAATACCCATATATGTTAAACTTGAAATGCAATAACCTCATAAAACTCAGAATGCTAATATACAATTAATTGAATTTTAGTAATCTGGTAGGAAAAGAGAACAGTAATACATGATTAGCTTAAACTACAGCGATTCAAATGTTTAATAATTATTTAATTAATGAACTATCTGTCTATTCAGTAAAGGTTAGCCACTCAATCAAACAGAACTATAATTGATATAAACATTTTGCAAATGTTTATGAGATCAGATGTTAATGTAAAATGTAGCAATTTCTTGACTGTCACATCAATAATGCTTATCTAACATAAGGAACAATGACAGAAATTTAAATTCTTATCCATTATATATTAAATGATTTCTATTCCAATGAACTGCTTGTCTGTATCTATGCTCACCATCAGAAGTGAGGTGTACCTGATCATTCTGTCATTTGATGCTAGATAATGCCAAACAGAACATCATTTGCTGCTAGATAATGCCAAACAGAACATCATTTGCTGCTAGATAATGCCAAACAGAACATCATTTGCTGCTAGATAATGCCAAACAGAACATTTACAAGAATGTTCACATTGTAAGATAACATCATTTCATATGTCCAAATGACCAAAATCAATCACAATTGGGGGTCATTACCGGAGCTACGGAGTTCATGTTCTGTGTGGCGCTCTCAGCAGACGACTAGCCATTTTGCTGAGAGAGACCGAGCCATATGGGATTAAACCTGGCGCAATGAAGTCGATCCTCTCGACTTTAAGCCTTAACAACAACATTTAGGCACTTAAATGTATAGTCACATGCTAGCAATTACCACACAACTTTTGCTTTCTGACTTCCATGGAAACTACAGCTAAATCTAATGTCAACCTAATTTATAATATATGCTGGCCTACCCGAACAACTTGTCTTCCTCCCTCTGGCAATGGATACTCTTCCAAAACTTCTTTAGTCACATGCTTCTTTTTGGTTGTTGCTGACATTCTCTCTGTAATGCACAAACATTGAAACTTAAAATTCTACTTAATGCTTCAATCCAGCTGTGTTTATTGATTGCTTCTTTTATATATTTCTACAAAAAAATATAACAAATGATTATAAAAATTGCTTTTATGCATAAATAACTAATTGGCATGGAATAATTTAATATCTTAAATAGTAACTGCCTAACAAATCCAAAACACACATATTAGTTTTGAGAGAGCCTATAAAAAGTGCAGATGTTTTTAGATCTGAGCCCAATAATTAGGAAGGATGCTTGCTGCAAAGATGAAATAAAAGCATGATTTACAGTATATATTTTTTTTAAGCCAGTCTGGGAAAACAAATATTTCTGCCAACAATTAACATCAGTATTTAACTTAGAAAACTGAAATACCTAACTAAATAAATGAGAAACTCAACAGGATCCTAATCATGCAGAATAGCTCTGGAAAAAAAGTTAATGCCACACCAGTATGTTTTACATAAGATGAAGATCTGAGCAAAATCAAAGGAACAAACTGATTATCATTCATGATTATAAGATTTAACACTTATTATAATCAGATCACAGCCTTCTGGCATTTCTTGCACATGTGGGCTGTTCACTGACGGCTTTCGAGAAAGTTTGATGTGTTCGGTAATTTTACATAAATTTTTTTCCTGGAGTTACCTGTGTGCAACAATGGCGAGAAAAAGACTGTTGCGACAAAACAACCGAAACATATCTGGAGTCAGGAAAATTAGTAGAACCATGTGCCAGAAGTGTCTCCAAGGGTTTTACTTCCCAAAACACAAATATTAGGACTTATTCAAGCGTCATCCTTCAAAAAATGCACCCAAATTTGTTAGGTTAGTCATGTTTTTAACCAATGCTTGCATAAATTATGCAAATCAGAAAAGTTAATTTGAATAAATGTTGAGATTTCAGTTTAATTCATAAATATTCTGTTATCTGATTTAATTTCCTACAAGAATATATATAATTTCATAAAATGTTAAACGCTTTAATTTTTATAATTTTATCTGTGTATAAACTATGAGAATCCCCTCCTTAACCCTTCCAGACCGCTGAACAGATTTTTCTGGAATTTCTTAACCTGACACTATACCGCTGTCCCTAATTTTCGGCAATTTGCCTAGTACGTTAAAAAGATGCATCACAGACTAAAAATAACTAGCCAATCGTAATCAGGCCTCGTGGATAGTCTTCCTAGATGTTAGCTCGCACGTGCTTGGATTAAATTTGTGTTGTTTTCCGTAAAAAAAATTCGGAAAATTCACAATGAAACAAGCGGCTGATGAACCAAGCACTTCAAGAGGAAAGTAAAGTAGGTCTAGGCTTTTCAAAATTCAACAGGTGATCGATACTTTGGTTTATTCAGACTCTGCGGAGTCATAGTTTTATCATGAATACGTTCACAGTTGAAGTCATACATCATTCAGTGAGAGCTCAAATAATGAGAAGAATCTTGAAAATTATAAATCTAGAAATAGATCGATAGTAGGAGAAAGGGGTATGTCCCTCAAACAGCAACATCTGGTGTTCACTTTGTGAAACAAGGCTGATCCGCCTGAGTGGATTGACACACAAAGGTGAAATACTGGGGCTAGATAAAAGATAAGCCTATTTTCTACAATATCTCCAAGTTTTATCTTATTCTAGCCACTTGTTTGCATGTAACTAATATTTTTGTAAATCATGTTATTTATTTCGTGTTAATTCCCAGGAGCTCAGGAAAGGGGCAGTTAGGTTCAAGGCCTCAGGTCTGGTAGGGTTAAGGCTTCGTCTTTTTGGCACTGAAAGTCCAAAAAGGCTCCGTCTCCAGATGGTTAAAATGGCAGTTGGCATGATATGTTGCAGTTTACAGCTAGGCTGTGATATTGCTTTTCAGCCTGACACATCAGATTTTAGTAAATCTATAATTAGTTGCCTTCTACAACATACTTATTAAGGAAAGTGGATCTATTCTTTTTCTGCAAAATGGGATAGAGAGCGTTTACTTAAATTCTTAAGGTGCTGACAGGGAGAAAAAAAATCAAGGGCAGATGGTAATTTTCAAAATCAAGATCACCATAACGTATGTGCAATAAACTGCCGTAGAAGGATAACTCCTAAAGAATGAAAAGAACTGCCTGTACCATGTGAAGACTTGGTTGAACATTATAGTCACAAAAAAGAATTCAATGATACATGTCACAACCCTATTAAGTACAGTCAGTGTACCACACCGTAAGGTGTGCGCCCAGGGTTGACACAGAGGTCAGGGCCGTCACTGGTCAAGTCCGTTCTGTGACGCGAAACCAGCGCTCAGGATAAAGCAAGAAAGCCTGAACTGTGTTGTGGACAAACACGATGACTGCTTTTGGGACTGAGCTGGTGAACGGGGTCAAGAGACACGAGGGAGAAGGAAGAAGGACATTCGGTGTGCGTCGGTCAGGAAGAGAGGACGTTTAGCAAGACAGTTGTGTTATAGTATTAGAGTTAGGATATATCTGTTAGTGACTGGATAGTTTATGTTATAGTATTAAAGTTAGGATATATTTCTGTTAGTGACTGGATAGTTTATGTACAGTTTTGTGTTAGGATAGGATAGTTCTTGTGTAGAGTATTTATGTCAATGTGCTGTGAGAGAGTGGCTAACCTGGACACTCTGACCCTGCACTAAGACAGAGACTGTGACAGTTTGATTGGGTCAGCGTGGCGATAGAAGAGAGCGTATCCTGCCGGGTTGTGGTTTGTACACCAGAATATTGCCTGTCGCACGTACTGGGGACGGGGCGATTGTAAAGCCCGTTCAGCCAGAGGGTCCAGGCAATAGGTGGCCACACGGCGGTAAGTCAACTGTCTATGTATTACCTGTACTTCCAATAAAGATTGTCGTGTGTGCTCTGTGTGCGTTCGGGTTCAGTGTGTGTTGTAGGCTAAGCTGTCTGTCATAGGCCTAGTTAGCGAGCCACGGACCGGCAAGGTCATACCAGAGGTTTGTGACAGATTATGGGGGCGTTCGTCCTTGGGAATTGAATCTATAGTAGTAGCTAGATAGTAATAGTTGTCTGCGTTAATTGTGAACCCAATGTATTTGTCTAAATAGGAGACACAGATTAGTTTGTATGTTTAGCTGACTGATTTATTTTTCTTCAAGTTTTGTCGTTCACTATTGTAGGGCTAACGTGATTGAGTTAATCCCTTAATTTTGATGTTGCTATCGAGTAAGTTGGTGATGGCGTTGCTGAGTTTATTCTCTTAAATATTGCATCGTTGTTCGGGCCTACTCTTAATTTTTGATAGCGACATCGGGGTTGGCTTGGATCACCCGTAGCGCTATAAAGTGATAGTTTGTTATCGTTTTCGTATTTGTTCCGACTGATTGTAATTAATAATGACTAAATGTGATAGGGCTGCGTTTGCGTCGTGACAAGTTAGTGACGTAGAGGAGAAATAGTTTGACGGACAGTAAAAAGTGTGAGGAAGGTCAAGATTGTGTGCTGTTGTGTGGTTTCTGCCGACATCGATCAACCGAGGCCTGTCGATCTCGGTCATCACATCATCCTTTCTGTGGGAGGAAAAGAATCAAGGACTGGAGAGAAGATAAGTTTGTTTTGCTTTTGGTGTATTGTTGTGGTCTGTTCTCCAGCCCTCGAGGGTTCTACGCAGTTGTATTTGAGCCCTTGGCACCGTTCATTATCCTTCTCATTTCTCGTCTGTCCTATTCATCATTTACGTTATTTACGTTCATTTGTGTAATAATTTTTTTTGTGTGCACACATCATCATCCTTCATTCGGAAATTGTAACGAATAAGTTTCGGTGACCCATCCCTTTTCTGTTTCGAACAGTCCAAATTGTTCCATAAATATTATTATTATTGTATTGAATTTATTACATTGCTATAGTATTTGCATTGTTTTCACTGATTTCCGGGCTTGCCACTTGTAATTTTTAGTATTTTTGTTCGTGGCAGCTACGGTTAGTCAGGTGATTTGTTGAGTGGTTGTTGATTATTATTTTGAACGAAAGATCATTGTTATTGTAATTAAGATGTCGAGTCTATCTGAGTTCATCGAGATGGCAAAACAGCATGGTCTGACTGGCGAGAAGGCGCTAGAATGGGCAGACAAGAAATATGCCGACCTTCAAGAGAGAAAAGACAGAGCTGACGAGAGAGAACTCAAGAAATTGGAACTAGAAGCCGCTAGTAAACTAAAGGAGATAGAGGCTATTAACATCGAAAAACAGTTAGAAGCCACTGGTAAACTAAAGCAGATCGAGCTGGAAGCCCAAGCGGCATTAAAAGACAAAGAAGTAGCAGCTCAGATAGCTCTAAAACAACAGGAGTTATCTGCGATGGCTGAGAGAGACAGGGTACAGTTGTTGATCAAGGATAAGGAACTAGAACACACCTCTATATTGAGACAAAAAGAGATGATATGCAATTCAGACCTAGAGAAAGAAAGGCTGTTGATGGAACTAAAGGCCAAAGAGATAGAAGCAACTAGAGATGCTGAGGTGCAAATGCGTAAGGCTGAGATAAAGGCTGCTGAACCTTCGTTCAAAAAGTACCAGGGCCTAATAAAATTTTTTACACAGGGTGATTCCATATCTGCTTGGACACAAAATTTTGAATGTATGGTCAATCACTATGAGGTCCCTTTTAAAGAGTGGTCACTCATTTACCGAAAACATTTAGGGGGTGAACCGTTGAAATTACTAGAAACAATCCCTACTGAAAAACTTGAGGATTATTATTTTGTCAGGGACAGAATTCTCCAACATTTCTCCCTTGATGAGGAATCTTACAGAAATACCTTTAAAAATTTGATTCCGAAAGCTGAACAGACATTTCTGGATTACATGTCTGAGGTGGTATCCACTTTTGACAAGTGGGTAACATCGGCGAAAGTGAACAAATCATACGAGTTGTTAAAAGATCTTTTGATAAGAGACAAGGTGTTGTCAAGTGTCCCGAGCAGCATGAAGACGTTTTTGATTGAGCAAAAAC